TATGAATATGCTAAGGGTTTTGTTTTGAACGTCTTATTCACTTGGATATACATTTTTTCTTTTTTCAGGTTTTGCTTTTTTTTATTGGTGAGTATCTTGAAATGAATACATAGAAACAAAAGTATTTTCATTAATAATAATAACCCTCAAAATGGAATACATTTCAGATATTGAAAAATATTTGAACTAAAAAAGCAACTATTAGAAGCACCAACATCTCCAGGCTCTTAGTTTCTCCTTGATGATTATTATCTTTGTCATATCTGGCTTGACGACATTGATGCGGACAAGCTATTTCCTTTTGGTATTCATTTTTCAGGACACTCACCAAAAACCTTTTGTTATTACTTTTTAACCCTGTAAATAAGACAAACAGAAGAAATAGAGGGTAATGAATATGAAATGCAGAAAAATGTATGAATGCATGGATGTAGGGCTTAGTGATGGGATTTTATGAATGGTTCCTTAGAAGGTAGGTTCCCATTATTAGCCTACGGATATTTTACCCTCCCCATAAGGTGGTTTCCTTAAGGGTATCATGAATAACACTAGAGGGAAAGGCATAAGGGCCTCCCTTAACTGGAGCCTTTTTGCAGACTAAAACTTTCGTCTCTAGGTCATGAAAGGTCTCGCCATGAGATTTTGGTTTAAGGGTTGTACAAAGAGTCATATGTGTTATTCCAAAGTCCTACTTCCCAAGAGGATGTCTCTTGAGAGGTATTCCTTTCGCGAAATTCCACTGACTCTAGGCGAAGTCAACACATAAACTCATAGGGCTGATATATCCCCTTGGCTAATAGACGAACCTTCTTTCTAAGGGTTTTTGAAAATAATTTTGCAAAATTTAAATACCACCACAAATGAATAAATATAATTAATAATATAAAAAATAAATGAATAATTAAATACACAAATATAAAAACCCAAAAAATAAGAAAACCCTAAAACCAAAAGACAAGGCTTCTAAACCTAGAGTTGAGTCCCCAACTGAGTCGTCGCCAACTGTTGTAACTGGTTTTAAATTCATAGTCGCCACCCTTAATTTTTATCCTAAGAAAGGGAATATAAAGTTTAACCCTAAAAAAGTTAGAGATTCTAGGTTTTTTGGACTCGGTTCTAGACGAAGGAAAGGTGTTAGGAACCCTTCATCTACCTTGTTCACGAGGATACTAGCGTTAGAAGCGCGATCTTTAGGAAATACGGTTTTAGTGTTTTATAGATTTAGGAAATAAAATTATGAAATTCATTACTGCTTAGTGAATTAGTGAATGTTAGGATTTTGTTATGATTTGTAATTCATATTGATGTAAAGATTTGATAAGTTTCTGTATTTGAGTTGTTATGTTCTTACAACATTAAATGTAAGATTTGATCTGTAAATAAAAAATCACGATTTGATTCTGTTTTGAATTGTATTGATTTAGTATTGATTTTGCTTATGAATTAGTGAAGATTTCAATTCTGTATTTGGTTTGATTCTGTTTCTGTATTTTGAATGCAAGATCTGATTCGATTTTGTTTCAATGATTTGAATAGTAATTGTTCTTTTCTATAAAGAAAACATTATTTTTCATTAATCTGAACAGTTCACGTTATTGATTTGGTTTTGGGCCAAGCGCTTTTTCTTTACTGAACTGGGTCTTGTCTTGCTTTGGACTTCTGTAATGTACCGGGTGATAAAGCCTTCAATATTTTCTCTCTTTTATTAAACAAACAAAATTTTAATAAAAATTGTAATAATAATGCTTAATGATAAAACTATTATAATTAAGACAAAACAATTAAGTTAACTTTAATATATATAATATTTAATTATAATAACAATAATAATGTTGTAATTAAAAACAAGACAATTTTTTTCAAAACAAGCCACAAAAAACTGAATGGGCCACATTATCTATTGGGCCTTAACAACAAATGAATTACTCATACACCTCCCTTATTGTAACGTACTCCCCTTCTATATTTGAAATGGATTAATAAATTACATGGACCCTTTCTGATTTAGAAATGCCCATGATTTTCAAAATAGTGGACCCTCATTATGAAAATGCACCTTCTCTCAAAACATGAAGGAACCCTTAATAGGGCATCAAATATTGATGGTCCACTTTAGATCAATACACCTCTCTTCCATGTTTTATACTCCCATAGAAATGAATTCTACATAATATAATATAATGGTAGGGCAAATTTGGGGTATGACAGGTACTTATATTCATTGGCTTAAGTTTTTTCCACTTTTGCAGCTATTGTATCTTCTATTATGATTTTGTTGGTTTCTAACTTCAAATCAATAACCCCTTTAGGTTTGCTTGCACACCTATCATACAACTCCAAATGCTCATTTGCAGAAATTGCTTTAATTATCTTTTTAATACTCGTGGTTGTTGAGAAATTAGATTAGCCACCGACTCCTGTGTCAATCAACAGTTTGGTCTTTATTCTAAGACCATTAACAAACATTTGTATTTGTTCAGTCTGATCCATATTATGTGTAGGACAAGCCACTAGGAGTCTTTTGAATATTTTGTAAGCATATCTTAATGAATCACCCTCTTTCTTCTTGAAGTTCAGGATTTCATATCTTTTTCTCAAGAACACTGATGCTAGAAAATACTCATTCAAGAAAGTCGTTTCCATATCTTCATAAGAAGTAATACTGTCAGCTAGAAGAGAATAAAACACTCTTCTGCATCTTCAGATAAAGGGAAAGAAAACATCCTTAACCTCTTTACTTCATCAGTGTGTCCATCAATCTTTAAGGTGGTACTCATAGAGAGAAATCTTTACAGGTGTTTATTAGCATCTTCGTTTACCTTTCCAATGAAAGGTCTCCTCTCAAGCTGAGTAATTGTGCTCGAATGTAGTTGAAATTTTGGCACATTCACTAGTTGGTTTACAATTGTTAACCTACCACTCGGTGCATTTGTCCTACCATAGTCACCAAGGAGTCTCTCAGGTGATGGTGGATCTTCAGTCACAATTTAAACTTCTTTTTATGACTCTGAATCTGAATGGACGAAGATTTTCTCTTCTTCAGAGTCTAGTCTTGCTAATCTAGCTTGTCTGAGCCTCTCACACAAAGTTCTTTCGATTTATGCATCAAAAGGAAATTCAGCTGAGGGATCACCTCGCATAAAATATTAAAGACAGATTAGTAACTAAAATAAAATAAAAGTAACAGAAATTAAAATTTAATTGCAAAGCAACAAAATTTCAATTGAACTTGAATTAAAACTCTATATTTTAGAAGTCCTCGACAACGACACCAAAAACTTGATTGTAAAATAGCAAGTGTACTATCTTGCCTCTATAATAATAATGAGGAAAATTTCCCAAATGTCGATCTCAAGGACTGCATACCTATATGGAGTTTGAATTATTATTCAATGAAACAAAAACTAGTGTTTGGGTTTGAATTGTTGATTTCTAAAAATAATTACGAATAAAGAAAGCAGATGTGTTGAACAGTTTCGACAAAGATGAATAGCATGCTAGGGAAGGTATGTAATTCACTCTTGTAACAACTCTGAATAAACATTAAAATAACATATTTTAAATAATCAATTATCGGTTCTTACGAGTGTTTACTCCTAAGTACTTAGTAAGAAAACCTTTGATCACCCATCCTAATTTCTATGTCCGTAGAATATCACTGATGAAATCAAGCATTATTAAATAAAGAATAATCTAGTTACTATAGGGTATCCCTAGTCCTAGTTGATATCTACTATAACATATTCTCATGAAAGCATTATCAATGACGGTCCAGCCTAATTGGTAATCGTACATCATTCTCAATTTGTCCTAAAGAGAAGGCATTAAAATCATCAAGAGAATAAATTAATAATGAAAAACAACATTTTCATTGCAAATAGAAACTCGAAGTCATTACAGATCCAAATAAGGGAAACCCCCTAGATTGGGGGACATAACTACTCATAATATTCAAGAAAAACATAGTATTCAGTGTAGACATTACAAATAATGGATGGAAATAGGTCTTCAATTTCAAAAGCTCATGAAAATATTGATTCCAAGCATAAATTCGAGCTCTTCAGCCTTCAATAGTGTTCGTTGCCGTAAAAAATTGTCCAACCCTTGGAAAATCACGCCCCTGATTAAATAGATGTGCACTGGGATTTAGCAGAATTTATAGGCCTCCATACACATGTCATACGCGTATGGCTTGGAGATGCGTAGGAGCGACACACGGATGGTACACACGAAGGATTTCTGCAAGCACCCATACGCGTATGGGCAGAAGTGTGTTTTTTCCTTCCTTCAGCTAGATTGAGTATGCTACGCGTAAGGTTCAGGGCCATACGCGTATGATCTAAGTCCATACGTGTAAGGGCAGTCTTGAGTCTTTTTTCATTGCTTGCTTCTGTTTCCATGCTCTGCTCAGTTGCTTTGGTCTGTTCCATGATCCTCTTACTTCTTGAACCTGTATTCAACCAACTACACATGCCAAAAGCATAAAAATAGCCAAAATAGACTCAAACTCTAACAAACACTTACTAGACAAAAAATGACTCAAACAACCACTAACTAAGAACAAAGTCCTACAGTTTACCTGGATTTATGACGAATGAGTGACATAAACTATAGCACAAATGGTGGATGATCACTGCCCTCACAGATACACTTCATATCGTGTGCTTCAGTACTCTCTAAAATACGACATACCCTAGTTGGTCATGTCACTGCACGTGTCAAGAATGGGTAGCAAAATGTTTCATTGATGGGACTGCATTGAATTCGCTTGTTTCCCATTACTTGTTCAAAAAATTCATTCCAAGCGTTTCAGTTTTATCTCACCTTGGATCACGACATGAAGGTCGTTCAATAATATTTAAGGCTTCCTCCGACTATTGCAGTGCCCAGTAAAGCCTTGGGGACAACTGTTTTGGATCGGACAAATGCCCAATTGACCAAAACTCAATCTATCTCAAGCCCATTTTACTCAACCCAATATATAAAGCAATTCACATGCTATGAGAAGGTACACAATTTCGAATCTCCAATTTCACTATACTCGTCTTGAATCTTAAACTGATTCGGAAGTTTGAATGCTAACCATGCATGCTCACCCTGCGTCACCGTAAAGATCGGAGCCACTGCCCAAAATCAATAGTTATTCAACTCTCTTCATTTATGGTTTCCTTATGAAGTTGGAATATTCACTTTTGATTCGCAAACACACACACACATTAATCTCTTATTAAATTTTGGGTTAATTATGTTTTTGGTCCCTATAAATTAACAAATTTTGTTTTTGATCCCTATAAAAAAAACATGACATGTTTTAGTTCTTACAAAATTATTACGCACGTAGTTTAGTCCCTATTGTTAAACCGATGTGTGTTTTTGAATAATTATTTTGTAGACATGTTAAGAACGTTATAAAAAATTCTTCGAAAAAAAGGAAACTCAAAATTTGATTTCTAAATCGAGATTTTCTTTACTTTTATCAATATTTTTTAAAATTTAAAAAATTTATATTTAATTCTTCTCATTTTAAAAAGATTTAAAATTTTATTAAAAAAATATTTTATAATTATCTAAACACGTATGGAAAAAAATTATTCAAAAACTTAAAAGTTTAAGAGTAATTAAACAGTTTTTAAAATTTTAGAAAATGACATAGACTAAAAATTTTGTAAGGACCAAAATTTATTATTTTTTAAATAGACTAAAAAATAAAATTTGAGATATTTATATTGACAAATATATATTTAATTATAAATTTTTTTATATTTACTTGTTAGAACTTAAATATCATTAAAAAAATATTAAATAGATTTTATTCAATGAATGTATTTAATATTTATTTTTTAAAATTGATCTAAAGTGAATCCTTATCATAGTAAATAAAATATAAATTTTATAATAATAAAAAGTGAATATATTAAATAAATTTTATTGAAAATACAAAAGTTACACTCGAACAAAATTTATATTAGACGCCCTTTAAAAATATTAAATGTTGAAAAGTATTCAATTTAGACAAATGTCTTTTTTTATAGGGTTCTTCTAATTTTGGTAAAGATACCCAATATTATTAAACTACATTTGTATATCCTATTAAACAAAATATTGCGAACTCTGATTCAGTTCAGATAATATCGAAGTGACGTGGAATAAATGAATTTTAATTTTAATTGAAATATTTATTGGTCGTATTCTTTATTTACTTTATATATTTTCTATTAAAAAAATGTATTTATTTAATATTTTAACTTTATTAGACTTTTTCACCTAGAAATATATAAAAAATAATAATCCTTATTAAATGTATATGATCATTATTATTTGCCTTTTTGGATGTAAAGTTAATGAAAAGAAAAATATAATTAAAACAATAATTGTCTATGTATAGTATTAACTTTAGCAAAGAGTATGTTTCCTCTATATAAGTTGGATAGAATTCTCATTTGAGTAGTCATCTTAGATCATCAAAATCTAGCAGGCCTAAGACAATAATGTTTTCTGAGTTCTAAAAGTGAGATTTAAGTTCTTTCATCATCTTGTTGTCTTTGTAGGTGCTTTGAAGGAATTATGGAAGGATTATCAAGCTCTAACATAAGGGATAACCAAAGGTTGCCACAATTTGTGACTAATGTATCTTTGCCTAATATGGCCAATGTCTTGCCTGCCGTTGAAAATGGAGTCCCAAATCCTCAAGGAGATGATCTAATTCTAGATAGTGAGACTAGAATGTGAGTTTGGCTTTACAAAATTTTCAAATTTTAAATATCATTCATAGATTTTTGCTATCTTAATCGTAATCTAATTAGCTAAATCGAGGTTTTATTCCAATAAATTTAATCAAATTAATTAAGATCACTCTATAAAAAAAAAAATAGTTGATGCACTGATAGTATAATATAATTTTATACCGTCAACTAATCATAATCATTTATTCAATTAAATTACAGAATCTAATCTATTTTTTTCTGGCTTGTAGACGTTTACAAAATAGAGGATACTCGAAAATGTATCGGCAGAGAAAGAAATGTCACATCGAAAATCTGGAAGACAAACAAAATACCCTAGTTGTAATCTTATGATCTTTCATCCATATATGTATATATTTCTCACAAATTTAATTTTTTTTTATTAAGCCAATAACTATTTAACTACGCAGGAAATAATATGTCAAGAAGTTCCAATGACTAAGGTTTACACAAACGTTGGTTCAGTTATTAACACTGAAATTAACATTTTGGAAGAAACATTGTCTCAAGTCAATTCAAATGGGGAGGTTCTAAATGGTAATTTGTCATCCCTTAACCCTCAATAATCATTCTAATAACTTACTGTTGATAATAAATAAATTGAAATTTAGTTTTTTAATTGTGATTGAATGAAATTTTTTCAGCTGAGATGAACATGATGATAAATCAATTGGATCAGCTAAGATTATCCAAAGAGGTAACTGAAGTAGATTTTGATAAGAAGAAGAAAGCCGCAGGAAAATGAAACGGAGGAGCATATTAATGAAGCAGTTTATATAGTAATACTGTGATATAAACATAAATAAGGGTTCATCTATTATTTACATTATTATTTCTCGATCTCATATTATTTATCGTAATTGATTGTTTTATACAAATTAAAAAATAATAATAAATAAAATAGATAAAAAATAATATAGTAATTTGATAACAAAATATTTTGTGGAAATAAGTTTATAACTCAACTCTAAAAATAGATTAAATTATATTTAAGTATAAATTTCTTATATTTTGACTTTATTTAGTAATAAAATTATACATTAGTATATTTAAATATAAGTTATAAAAATATAATTATTAAATATAATAAAAGTCTTTATTATTTTACATTAGTTAGTAAACTAATTTTAAAAAAAAAATAAATTTATCAAACAGATTTTTTTTTTATTTTCTCATCTTTAAAATTGTTTTTAAAAATTAGTTTATCAAATAAATATTTTTATTTTCTCATTTTTTAAAACAGTTTTAAAAAGTTATGTTACCAAACAAGTTTTTTAATAGTTATCTTCTTAAAAATTATTTTCTAAAACAATTTTCTAAAATATATTTTAAAAAGTGAAAAGAAAAATTGATTTAAACAAACTTTAAATATAAAATTATATTAATAATTTAAAGTGATAAGTATTTTGAAATGATTTTTTTTAAATGTAACACTTATTTTAGAATAATTAATAGAAGAAAAAAAAGTCTATCATTATGAATATTTATTATTGTATGAATTTAGATGGAAATACTGGATAATAAATTCTACCCTAGGAAATGATTTTGATTTGTGAAATAAAGCAAAATCATTGACAACAACTTATTCCATAAACATAAAGTATGTTTGAATTTATATATATATATATATATATATATATATATATATATATATATATATATATATATATATATATATATATATATATATATATATATATATATATATATATGTCCGCTATGTTTAAACACGTCAAAAGCGGGGTGGGGTAGATCAACTTAGGCGTTTGAACTCAAAAGTCAAATTCATCTTGTTTGCTAACGAGTTGGCGGTCCGTTAATTTTTTACTTTTTTTTAATTTTATAATTTAATTTAATACATAATTTACAAAAATTTTAATTATTATCAAAGAAGTCGAAAAAAGATTTTTTTTAACAATGCATAATCAAATTTTAACATGTCTTAAGTTCAAACAATTCAAAAAATAAAATAAATAAAGACTAATTACAACAACGAAATAAACTCAATCACAATAAAAAAATATATCAAAATAAATAAATAAACGATACATATCATCCTAATCCTATTTAAAAACTAACTACTAAAGAACCAAATTAAGATTTTACACAAGAAAAAATGAGAACAATTACACGGATAAAGCATCACAATGCATAAAATATCAACATCTAACTTTCTCAATGTTTACACCATATAGACTCTTATATTGACTGATTCCTTAATAGTTAAATCCTAAATTTGTCACACCTATACACTAAACAAATCCTTCATTTACTTAAAATCAACATCTATTTCTAAAGAAAACATATGACTTATGTTAGTGCGTAAGACATTTTTAGTGAAGAGATAAAGAGAGAATAATATAAAAATAAAAATTATATTATTTACTTGAATTATACAAATAATGATACAAACTATGACTATTTATATACAACCTTAATTGGGTTTGGACTTATCGACTTGGATTATATTTGATATTATATCTAATATCTCAACATATCTAACTTGGATTATATTTGATATTATATATAATATCTCAACATATCCTCCCTATAATCCAAGTCGTCGAACCTACGCTAATCATAGTCAATCTGAACTATTCATAATTTCTTTCTCAAATTCAAGAATCCGTCGATCTTCAATTATTTGGTGAAAATGTCGACCAACTGTGTTTCACTTGAGCAATGACTAACTTGAAGTTCACCTCAATTTACCATTTCCCTCAAGAAGTGAAATGTAGCTTCGATATGCTTACTTCTTCCATGCAAAATTGGATTCTTTGTCAGATTTATGGTTGACTTGTTGTCAATTTGCAACATAAGAGGTTTCTTCACTTCGACCTTTATTTCTTCAAGTACTGATCTGATTCAAATTACTTGATATGCAGCATAGGATCCTGCTATATATTCATCTTCAAACGATGATAATTCCACCACAGGTTGCTTTTTCGAGCACCATGAGATTGGGGCACCAAGTACTTGAAAGAAATATTCAGTTGTGCTTCTTCAATCTTCCTTATCTCCACACCAATTAGTATCTGAAAAACAAGTAACTGTTGTTTCTTTGCCTTCATAATCTCGTCGAAATATAATTCCATAGTTATCTATCCTTTTAAGTATCTTAGAATTCTTCTTGCACCCTTCATGTGTGACACTCTTGGCTCACTCATGTATATGCTCACTAATTCGACTGCGAAACCTATATCGGTTCGATTGTTGCACAAATACCTTAGAGATCCCATAATTTGCTAGAACAAAGTTACATCGACTTTGTCTTCCTCTCCATTCTTCTCCAACTTCACATTTGGTTCGACAGGTGAGGATGCAGGATTCGAATCATCCATTATGAATCTCCTGAGTATCTCTTTGACATACTTCTATTGATGTAGCACCATACCTTGCTTCGACATTTGAAATTCCATTCATAGGAAATAAGACAATTTTCCCAGATCCGACATTTCAAACTCTTTCATCATCATCTCTTTGAACTTTAACAAGTTCTCCAAGCTATTTGCAGTTACCAGCAAGTCATCAACATATAAGTATATGATTGTTATATCTTGTGCTACAACCTAAACATAAACACCATACTCTGATTTACATTTGACAAATCGTAATTCGACTAAGTATGAGTCGATCTTCTTGTTCCATGCCTTAGGTGCCTGCTTGAGGCCATATAGCACTTTGTGCAACTTATATACTCTCTTCCTTCTGAATCACAAACCCTAGAGGTTTTGTGATCTAGACCTCTTCGTCTAAAGGACCACTCAGAAATGTTGATTTCACATCTAAATGAAATGTCAGCTATCCTTGGTTGCATGCTAATGCTAGCACTAGTCGAACAATCTTCAATCTTTCTATTGGAGAAATACTTCAGAGTAGTCGAGTCCTACTCTTTGAAGAAAACCTCGAGCTTCTAATCTTACTTTATGTCTTACCATCGACACATCAGCATTGTGTTTCTACTTGAACACCCACTTCACTTTGATAGCTTTTGTTTATGCTGAAAATTTGACTAGCTCTCATGACCTTTCAATTTTCTGTAACTCTTTGACCATAGCTAACTTCCATTGTTGAATCTTTAAAGCCTTTCTATAGTTTATTGGTTTAGCACCTGCAAGTAAATCAAAATGAATTAATTCTCCATCTGGTGTTACTTCATCATCACTAGTTACTTCATAGTATTGAAGTCTAGTTGGACGAATTCTAGTTCTTTGAGGTCTTTGTCTTGTGCTAGCAACACCCTTTTCGACTTCGAAATTGTTGAGAATTTCAGCAACTTCTTTGACTTCAACTAGAATATTTGCAATTTCTTCGACTTCAACTTCATTAGTTTCTTTGTCGAAACCATAACTCATCAATGGCTTGTTAATTGCATCATTAGAATTCCAATCCCGGGCATGATTTTCATCAATCACAATATCGTGACTCAACACAATTTTCTCATTGATTTGATTGAATAGCCTGTATGGACCAGTTTTATAATATCCTATTAGAATCATAGGTTCACTCTTGTCATCGAGCTTCCTTCTTCTTGCATCAGGAACATGTTCGTAACATATAGATCCAAACACCTTCATATGACTCATCGATGGTCTTTTTCCACTCCAAACTTCTTCAGGAACTTTATTCTTCAATAGCTTGGTAGGGCACCTATTCAAAATATAAAATGCAGTCGAAACAACTTCTCCCCATAAGGATTTTGGTAAGTTCTTTTGTTCAGCATGCACCTCACCATATTCAATATGGTTATTGTTGTACCCCAATATTTGCCCTCCCATATTTCTCAAAACATTTCAAGAAAGATTCTCAAGTTGCTCAAGGTAGTCCAAGGGGTTGACCAGACAAGCTCCCTCCTAAGACAGCCTACCTCAAATTAGGGTTTCATGTTTCATCAAGATACTTGAGTCCAAGGGATCTCAAATTCTCATCAATGTCCTAATATGTTCTCAAGATCATCCATGTCAAGTTTCAAGCCTTGCAGAAAAAATTTGCTCAGTCAATTGCTCAAATGCCTGAAAATCGACCATGATAGGGCAAAAGTCAACTGTGGCCCACATACAGTCAAACTTCAAGATTTTTGGTAAACATACTCATTTTGAAGTATATTTCATCATTTTATCAATGGTTGATTATGATTCATCAAGGATTGCTCATAATTCATCAAGAATCAAAAGTTGCTAAATTAGGGTTTTGCGGGAAAAGTCAACTCAACTTTGACCAAGCATATATTTCTCATACTTTATGAGAAATGACCCATAAAAATCTCATTTTTAATAGGATACCATGCTCTACAATACATCTTCATCTCCCAAGTTCAAAATATGCACTCACAAGAAGTTATGAATTTGGACATTATAGGTCATTTTGAAAAGTCAACAAAAACACCTTTTTTGTCAAAGCTTCATACATGAGCATGGAATATCAAATTGAGATGAGACAAAAAGGGTTGCTTAGAGGACATGTAAATATTTCTAAAAAGTCCAATAACACTTTCAAATATTAAAAATTGAGGAAGTTATGCATTGGTGAAGTTGACCCTTTTTGCAAAATTGCCAAAAGTCAACTATGCCTAAAAATGAAATTTTTGCTAAATGGGACCAATCTTTTTCACTTGTTTTGAGTTGGAAACATGGTCCACGAGTCCTAGCTTTTGCCACTTGTCATTATCTTTTTCTATTTTTTATTTTTATTTTTATTTGAATTAAATCAATTTAAATCAATAAAAAAATCATAGAAAATCCAAAA